GCTATCATCTCCCCATCTGACTTCAAACAGTTTCCAAAGAGAAGTAAATGACCCCCCCGGTGCCAGGTGCCAATGGGCCTGGCTGACTTGCAAAACTACACCATACACACAGTACACAACACACACACATATATACCTTTTCTTTATTTACCCAGGTGAAAAAGACGTAGTATTTAATGTATTAAAAATATACTTGAAATTCAAGTAGTATGTTTATATACATTTGTATTCTATAATATAATAATATAATATAATATAATATATTTATATATATGGAAGTCACAGCTGTGGTAATTTAGGCCTAAGGTGGGAAAATACAATTTGATTTTCAAATCAATGCTGAGATTTTCAGGCACTGTTTCCTGAGAAAAGGACTTCGAAAATGACTTCCCATAACGTATTATTTTGAGATTCAATCTCGAACGTTAAATTCTGAAATCTAAATTAATTTTAAGGTTTTAACCTGATCAAGGCCTCCAACACCATACCATCTCCCGTAAGTATCGTGCCCTCTAATGAGACCTGTCCTGACAAGATGGAGGTCTGTTTTCTGTCACCATCATGTTTAAGACAATTAAAGGGAGGCCGTTTTAATAAACACTAGAAAATTTACACTGATGGATTCTCTTCCACTTGGGCTGGAAGGTTATCTAGAAAACAGGGAGCATGAGTCACACAGGACATGTTTCTTGGGACCCAATAAAGGTTCACATCTACAGATGTATGTGAGCTGTGGAGATAAGGGCTTCACTAAAGTCTAAATGTTTCCTGGGGAATAATTTCCTATATGGACCTGTGGCTCCTTCCCAAGAACAATGACATTTTTCAACATAACGTTTACTATACATCAAATTCTTTAAATCATACGTGGTGTAGCACAACTGCTTTCAGCTCAGGATGCATCTGTTGTTTTGGAACAGAGTGCTGGACTTTACTTACCAAGTGGACAGATACAAATGTAGTCATTGACCATATCAATGCAGGTGCCCCCATTAAGGCAGGGTCTGGACCAGCACTCATTCATATTCTTGGAGCATGTTCGACCTGCATGATGGACATTAACACAAGCAAAATAGATAAGAAAATGCCTGTATCATATCATGTTAGACCTCTGTGATCATTTTTTGAAGTCAGTATAAATAACCATTTGCAACATGTTTGCTTTCTGTAATGTAACATATTTCCAAGTAAAACAAGGTATTAGTTTAAAGAAAAATCGTAATCATTATTTTATTAAGAATTATTTAGAAAATTAAAAGAGGTCATTAAATATTAGAAAGAAGCCTGGATAAATGAAAGTTTGCTTATAACCTTCATATAAATATAAAAAATTAATTATAAAGATTTTAATTTAAATATTTTCAAATAATGGATCACAATTAGACTAATTAGACACATTTCCTTTTTAATCATGAGTAATTCACCAATGTAAGATATTGAAAGTCAATGCCCATCAAAAGCCCAGAGATGGTTTCCCGCCTCAGTAGTACCACTGAGTAAAACATTTAGCTTACCCTTAAATCCTGGAGCACACAGGCATTGGTAACCTGCCACCAAATCAATGCAAGTGGCACCGTTGGTGCATGGTGCACTTTTGCATTCATCTGTCTCAAGCTCACAGAACGTTCCCTCATATCCCAGCATGCAGTGACAGGTGTAGTTGTGCTGTTGGTCCAGACAGAAGGCGTGTTCTGAACACTGATGCCCAGAGCAGAAGTCAATGTCAAGTTCGCAGTGGACTCCAGTATATCCGTGACCGCAAAGGCAACTTGGAATGCATAAAACAGTATCTCTTAATGGGATCGCAAACAAAACAGCCAGACATGGTATGAAAATAAATGGCTGAGTCATGGGGGAGGACAATGTAATTTGCTTTGCTTTCTATCACAGGAACATGCTATTTGTTTTAACAGCTATGGGTGGTTTAATTCTAGAATGAGACAGTAAACTTCAACTGAAACTGAACAGGATATCAATTTTAATTTTATACTGAGAGAAGCATCCTGTTTAAAATGGACAAATTCACCCCAATCACTCTTTTTTGGAAAAAAAAACACAATAGGACAACAACATGCTATTATTAAGGGGATAATTAAAATTTTCTTATCCCCCACCCCCCATGTCATTCCAAATCCCTATGCTTCTATTGTATCTATGAAACAAAAAATATGTTTTTTAAAAAAAAATAATCTTTACACTGATTTTTTTTTCCATACATAGTGACCACAGGCTGTCAAACTCAAAAAAGGCACTATAAAAGAACGATAAAAGTTGTCGGCACAACTTGATTTTAAAACTATACCAGTTTTGTGCAAAAAATAAAATAAAAATTAAAACAGAATTATAGAGATTATTACCTCCGCTGCGGATTGGAAATCAAATTTATGGCCTAGGGCAGAACTTTGCTGCAATGACATTTGGTTACAAGACACTGGAAAACCGTCCCAGGTTACGTATGTAACCATGGTTCCCCGAGGGAACGAGACGCTGCGTCGGAAAACGCTAGGGGAACGCCTTCAGCGATACCAAGCTCATGTTAGATTCTATTGACATTTAACCAGCAGCAGGTGCCATATTTATTTGAGAGCAGCAGCACAGGTGAGGGTTATCACCAAATAATGACTACATTTTGCCCTGTTCATAACACAAAGTTAACAGAAGCCTTGAAACATAGAGCATGAGTCATATGGACTACTTTTAGGATGTCCGTTTGTGTCCTTTTTAGAGCTTGACAGACCATGGTCACTACAAACTGTTGGTGTATGGAAAAAAATGAATCTGTTCAGGTTTTGTTCAGCAGAGAAACAATGCATACAACATGGAACGACATGAGGGTAAATAATTACTGACATGAGTAAATAATTACAGAATTTATTTTTTATTTGTGCATTTATTTTATTTGCATTTGAGTTCATGCTAATATTTATAATGACATTTTAAATGCATTTCACTTAATTACAATTATCTTTGTATGAAAATAAAAAAAACTGAATTACATTTGAATACACTTAATTTCTAAGCAAAGCATTTGCTGTACTCTAAATAAACCTTGCGTTAAGTAGAAAAACAAAAAACAAAAACAAAAACAAAAAAAAACTTTTTCACCCAGACTCACCTGTACCCACCAACCTCATCCATGCAGGTGGCTCTGTTCTGACACCTGTGCTGGACACACTCATTCATGTTGACCAAGCAGGTCGGCCCAGTCCATCCAGGTGCACAAACACAACTGTAACTGGTGATGTTGTTAAGGACACAATGTCCTCCATTGGCACATGGCTGTCAAAATGAAAATCAACCATTATTCCTGAACAATCCTTCATTTAAATATGTGTGTAAAGGTAATTCTGGTCTTTTGTAAACAGAAAAACTTGGTCCTGGTGTTAAATAAAACATGCTGGTTAATGAAGGAAAGGTAATGCATTTTAATTGCCATTTACATTAGTGGTGAAGGTGATTATCAACACAAGTAAAGCAAATCCAAATGATCAAACATGTTCAAAAGGGACATGCAATTTGCCATTGGTGATATTGTTCAGTGACAAAGCATGCAAACAGTTTCACATCTTCAAAAGAATATAGCTTGCTAAGAACATAATTTTTTTAACCTGCTCTTTTCAAGTGGAACATGGAAGAGGGTGGTGTATGCATTTTGAATGAGTTCATGCATCGAAAAATATGCCTTATATGCATATGCCTTGTCGTTACTCTAAAGAACTGTTTATACTGACTCAAATTTCTTTTTCTGTCTTGTCACTGGTCTAATGTAAATTAATTTAGTTGACTGGAAGTAAAACTACGTTTTTGTCTATGTTTTTTTTAATCAAATGTAAATTCATGTCCCAGTCGCATTTTCTTGGTTAATTAAACATTTCTTACACTACCAGAAAGAAAAATAAACAAATTCTATTTTATGTTTTTACATTAACAATGTAATCAATATTCTATTTATTAAAGCCAAGTATGAATCCCATCAAGTTTTTTTTTTTCTTTTTTTTTTTCTATCTGATCATCAGTCATCAAAGCTCGGTAAATATTGGTCACGGACATGGAGATTTACTTTACATTTCACCAAGATAATTACTCACTAAAAATTCCCACAGAGCATTGTTTTCATGCCATTTTAAGTCTTATTTTGATGTAACAAAGTGGTTATATCTAAGTGTGTGAGTTGTTTACTTACTTTTTTATATTAGTCTTCCCATTAGCGCCATTATGTTGTTCATTCAGACTGATTCGTGAACATGCCCAAGCACAAGAGGCGGGATTTATCGCATGAATCAATCACAGCCAATCATAACTAGTCATATCCAATCATATTGCGATGGAGGCATTGCCTCCTCTAACATGACTTTCCCCCATTCATTCTCAATTACCCCTCACCAAACTCACTGCACACTTTAGGGAGTCTGTTAAAACTCAATGGGCTCAGAGGAGGCGAGAGAGACGCGGACTCCCGTTGTAACTTTACCTGCTGGTGTTGCTGTTGTACAGTGTTTCTTTAGAAATATGAGGGATTTATACACTTTTTAATGTTATATTTTGTAATATTGGCATTGTTTTATTTTTGTACTACACATTTTTTTCTCATCCAATATTTTGAGGAGACACTGCCTCTTCGGAGAAAACCCCCCTGTTCTAAACATTAGTGTTATTGTAACTAGTGTATTGTATAGGGGGCTAGTGGGGCCTGAACCCTTCTGACCTACCTGTAGATAGCGAGGGCATTGAGTGTGACATATATGGAGCTGGTCACCTGGCAAATCCACACAGAACGTTCCAGGGGGACAGGTGACATTTGGAAGCGCACAGGCATTTATGTCAACCTCACAGTCAACCCCAGTGTATCCTGGAAAGGGAGGTGAGAAACACAAACCAATCTGAAGAAACACTTGGACTTCACCATCGCTGCTTCCTTGATTGGGATCTAAAAGAACCTTGTGCAAAAACAGAATTTAAAAGATTAAACAAGATTAAAACGCCTTTGCTCTTGTTAATGCCTTTGAGAACGCACCGCATATATTCCTCATGTCATTGTGCCTCAATCAATAAGGTCAATCAATGAACATGAAGCAAGCTGGAAATCAAATTTCTTTCTTTTTTTCCCTCTTTGTTTCTAGGAAAAAAGAAAGTAAAAGAAAACGGCAATCAATTTTTGAAAGCCTATTCAAAGCCCAAAAGCCAGTCAGCCCAAGTGAAAAGAACAAAATTGTAAAGGTCAGAAAGAGGCCAGGCTAGTTTGTACAAGGGCTTTTGGAGAGAGATAATTTTTTTGGCTTTCTTGCATTTGGTTTACATAATGAAAACCAATAATTTAAAAATGCATTCACATAGAGGTTTAAGCAGGAAGATCACACTTATGAAAATTAAGGATAGGTCAGGAAGGATGGTCGACTACAGTCGATTAGAGAGGTCAACTAGTGAATTTATGTCTTTTTTACTTTATTTTTTGGCTTTAATACTTTTAACAGGCTTTCAGAAAAGGTTTTAAAATGACTACATTTATAACTTTAAAAAAACTAAGACTTTATTTCTTGGTCTATTTACACATTCAGTTAAAAACAACTCAACTTTGAAAAACATTGAGACCCCTACATTCTGTTCCACTCTGCTCTGTTTCATCCAGCAGTTTTTATTTTTTAAATATTTTATAATTTTGCAATCATTGTTTACAACAACACCAACCTAAGTAATAATTCAATTAAATAATAAAAAACAAACAAACTGGAATGCCTCATGTTCCAATTCAAAAAGTATAATACTTCAGCTTCATTCATCGCACCAAAAGATAAACTGCAGTGCTTTACAACTATAGGACAGGAAGAGCTAAACAACAATTTGTATCGTGAAAAGCGCTGTACAAATAAACTTGAATTGAAATTGAATTGAATTGAAAAGGGAAAATTTTGATTTATAATGCCATTAAACCATTTTCTCTCCCTCATGCTGTTACAAACCTGAATGACTTTTTTTTCTTCTGTGGAACATAAAAGATTTTTTGAGAAATGCCTCAAACTGTTTGCTTACCAACCCTCTTCAAAATACCCACAGAAAAAAGTCTTACAGTTTCATGTGAGAAATAACGACAATAATGACATCATTTTTGGAGTGAACTATACCCTTTAAGTATTTTATATTTGACTCTAACTTCAACTTAATTTTACATACTTTGAGTCAATAATCTTTGCTAAATTATGTCCACTATTTCACAATAGCCAAGTCAAGCTTTTTTACTTTTTAAAAAGAAAACATCTTCAATCTTTTTATGAGGAGTTATTCAGATGATTCTCTCTTTTGCATCTCATTCTCTGAGCGGCGAGCACGCATGGGCAGGTTTAGGGAGGGGGCGTTTGGGACTCTGGGTCATCTACTCATCGAGCGGAAGGGAGCAGCTGGCTGAAAAGCATGCTTGTAACCCCGCCAGTGCCAATCTCTAGGGTGAGCCATCAGGTTGCATCAGTGAATGCAAATCATGCCTCAGAAAGAGTGAGCAGAACCAACAATTACGTGAGGGAACCATATCAATGCAGTGGCCTCAAAAGGGAAGAGCATTTCATAACACAATATTGACACAATTCTGCAGTACTAATGAGCTCTGGCAGTGTGAGAATGGGAGTGATTTGCTCAGCTGTCAGTCAGAGCCACTGGTGCTGGCACGGTGGGGATTTGTGGCACAGTCAAAAAAAAAAAAAAACATTCTCAGGAGTAAGAGAAACTCATACCTGAAGGACAGGCACATTTGTAGTATCCAACAAAGTCAGTGCATGTTCCCTGGTGCTGACAGGGACTGGAATCGCACTCATTTACTTCAGCCTCACAGTAGCGTCCTGCAGGAAGACAGGGGTGTGAATGGAGTGTTAGTTAAGCTTTTACGCTCCGTCTCCCCTGAAGATATTGACTCCACTTTTGACATTTGGGATTTAGAAGCAAATTTGGAAACTTTCCCCCCCCTATGGCTCACTGTTTGGTGCACGTCAGAGAGAAGAGAGGCCAAATCGTGTTTTACATTCTGAAAGTATTTAGCAACAGTTCAGACTGCCATTTACTGAGTCACAGTTCAGACAGTTAATGCAGACAGACAGTATGCAAAATGATGCAACATATGGAACTTTGAGAGATGCCAGAGAGAGACAGTATATAAGTGTGACTCAACTTTTGTGTAGAATAAAAGCAATTAAAAAGAAGTGAGGAGGCACAGAAAAAGGATGTCAGACTAAAGAAATAGTTCACCCTAAAAAAATTGTAAAATTGTATCAACTCATCCTCATATCATGCATTTTGAACCTGCATGAATTTCCGTGTAGTTATTTTTAACTAAAATTACAACTATTAAAAAATGTTTTTTTTAAAAACTGAAATAAAGCTAAATTGTTATTAAAAATAAATATGAAAATAAGATGAATGTGAAAATGAATGTAATTAAGATTACTAAAACTGAAATAAAAATAAAATTATGCCAATCAATAAAGCTACTTTTTACATTCCAAATTGTCCTGTTTGTTCCACAGGGAAAAAATAATATGCTTATATAATTTGTGTATGATTTATTTATGTTTCTTGAAGATTACAAATTGCAGCACATTACAAATTAAGCTGCATCTTTAGGTTGACCTCAGGCAACTTCATAAATAGGGCATATGGCACTGAATCTCAGATTTTTGTGGGTGTTATGGCAGTTCATATTTAGAGCAGTTAGTATCCAGCAGCAACCCAAGAACTGTTCTTAAGGTCATTTTCCCAACTCACTGGCAGATCTCTATTAATGTTGTTCATCCACGCACAGTTACATAAGTAACGTAACATGGAATCAAATCAGTCAAATCTTTGCATGGAAAAAGCAAGGCAACCTGTAGAAAAATAAATATTAGAAAGTCTTATCCAGTGCAAAATCTGCTTCACCAATGCTTTTAATGCTTTTCTCTGCTGTGGGAGAAGTCACATTATCTTCCCTCAACATGTGTCTGACTTTTTCGAGGAAGATCATAATGAAAGCACTTGACATTTCACAATGGCCTTCTGGCAATACCGTGGTGAGAAATGGGACAGGGACGATCGTTTTTAAGTCTCTGGGGTCATTAATCGATGGGGATATCGTTAGCATCATCGAGATATCTAAATAAAACATTGAGGTTTGAGCTGTGACATGTTTTCTCCAAATAGTATTCTAATCCATTATACAGCTCACAGAGGCAGAAATTGTCAGGTGCCTCTTGTTGCTGACACTTGGGATGTGGAAAGATAGATTTCTTCATCTGCTTAGATGGGAAATAGAGCCATCAAGGAAACTGAGAGGTGATAACAAGGACACAGAAGCACTGGCGATTATCACGTTGAAAATACGAGATCTACTGTGTAGTACTAAACGAAATCTCTCAGGGAAGGCATTTTTCAAATAATACGGCTTCATAACATGTTACGGTTTATAGGTGTCATGAAATGTAGATGATCTATAATTCATGTAAAGTGCCTATAAAACACTACGTCACATTTTCCTATGCAAGAGCATTGAACCGCAACGCATGCCACTGAGATCAACACGTCATGGCTGATGAAATCCAGTAAATCATTTGTCTTGTTTGTTTATTTGTTTCTGGGTTGTTTAGGCAAATAGTTCATTCTGTGCTCATGCGCTGGTGGCCAAGCTAATGAAAGATCTTGATTTCCCAGTTAGATTTACTGATTAAGTGTTCTCTAACCTCTATTTGCCCTTCATTTAGCAGACATGATGAACCAAATTACAGAATAATCCAGTTAGGAGGGCAATGTGCAAAGATGAGTTACGGTAAAGAGATGCCTCAGGGCAGTGGGACTTGTCTCGGTGGAACACACACTCTGAGTCACATTACAGCAGATGATATAGATGTTGGGCATGAAACTGTGTTATTCAGGCTAGGGCAAAATTCTGAACTGGCTCCTATTCAAATTCATGAGTTGGAATTTGAATAGAACTGGCCATGCCCCACAGAATGTTGAATGACAAGAAGAGTAATTTACTGAACTGTGATTCCAAGAATGGGACTAACACAAATTTTGTAACAAAACATAATTACACTATTAATTTGGACTAAATATGCCTATTTTTTTCTGATAGGTAGAAAGTTTTCCTCTCTACAGATTGCAATGTTCAATATTGTCAGAAAAAACAACATGCATCTAAATAGATTTAAATTTTGTCAACCATTACCACTAAATGCTCACATTGTTTACAAAAAAAATAAATATTGATATCAACATATAAATGCACTGGTTATACATCAGTGCTTGGCTCTATTTTGAAGAGGTTTCGGTACAGTAGAGTAATCTGGGAAATTAACCTAACATATATATAAAAAATAATAATATTTTTAGAAGTTTCTTTTCATTCAAAATCTAATTTTGTATCCAGGTTGCTACCTTATTTCAAATCCAATCTTTTTATTGGGATTCAAATGGACTTTAAATTCAGTCCTGAAGTCCTCAAGTCTGTGTGGCATGTAACTTTCTCAAAAATGTCACCAGAATAACACATATGGTGGATGACAGATATATTTTATATTTAATATTCAGAATTCTACGGATATAGCTGATATATAAGAAAACAATTTTTGTTCTATGCAATCTCCGACACTGCATGTAAACGTGACAATAATTATCCTCTCCAACCCTACTGTAGAAAAAAAAAACAATCTGAGTGTGGCTTTAAAAAGCTTCTGCTGCCAAACTCTGTGCAAACTCAAACATAAATCAGGATAACATATTCTGGAGTTTGTTGATATAGTTTTCTTTTAACCTGTGTATCCAGGGAGACAGGTGCACATATAGTGCGGGGGTGCAGTTGGCTGACTCATACTGATGCAAGTAGCTCCGTTCAAGCATCTGTTTGGATAGGCTAAGCATGCATTATCCAAGTACTGACAAAACTCCCCCGTCCATCCTGGTGCACAGAGACACTGTGGGGGGGAAAGATGTTTTAGTAATTAACCTGAATTATTAGATATTCAATCTATCAGCAAAACACTAAATGCATATACAGTACAATAATGTATTAAATAAAGAACATATACAATTCCCTGCTATTATTCTTATAGCTTGGTTAAACTTGCATTCAAGCTTTGATGAAAAGGTAATTCCATTTTCCAATCCCCTATGTTGCTGTCTACAAATTAATTTGTACTAAATATCCTGAAATCAGAATTCCTAGCTAATTAAGCCCTTGGCAATTCTAAGAATCATTACTCAGAAGGCAATTATATAGCATATTAGAGTTTAAGAAGTATAAGGAGGGGAAAAAGGACATTTAAGAAGAAAAATGTTGCTGATGACCTACATATTCTTCACCAATTTACTAATGAAGAAATGTGGCCTGTTTCCTGGACTATGTCAAAGTTTTAATTAAGGATGACAGTGATTAGTAATTAAACAACCAGATGTCTCCAAACAGCACACTAACCAAATCTGCTCTTATAATAACCAATGTTTACATACATCACAGAAACTTCTGCAGAGAAAGAGTGCTTTAAAATTCCAATGCACAACAGTATCTGTGCAGTTTTCCCAGGTTATTTTAAGTAAAGTCATATATATCAGCCATAAAGTCTTCAAGAACACATTTTGAGGTTCCCAGAATGTTATCAGCTCACTGTAACATAAAATAGAAAACTTTTACTTCATCTTTCAAAGTTAATGCTGACATACTCAAAAACTATTTATTTTCCTTAATTTTTGAGAATGTATATATTTTTTTCAGGCCTCATTTTATGCTTTTTATACCTGTAAAATAAACATTTATTCTGATTAATGCAGGATCAATCATAGGTCATTCATTGCTTCAAAAGTGTTTTTCCATTATCAAAACAGCATTTATGTTCATACATGACTGTGACAGATCCCCATGTATGAACATTCAATTTTATAGTTTAACAAATTGCACTTCAAGTAAATCAATTTATGTGAAGCACATATTCTAGAGCACTTCATAACAAAAACAGATGCGACTGCATCAATCGACAGTGTATAACTGAGACACATCACTCAAAGAGCAGATCTGTTGATGGGAGTGACAGAAAGATGATATTGAAATAGAAGAGGATGGCTGAAACCTTGAGACACAAGCATAAATCAAGGATACTATAATGTGACTGAAAGACTGAGAACTGTTATAAATTAATAGACATGCATTAGCCACTGAAATGGGGAGAGATTTTTGTTGGGATGTTTCATTGTCATTTTGGGTAGGAAATCAAAGGAACACAATCTGACTAAAGTATAGTCAGATTGTGTTCCTTTGATTTCCTACCCAAAATGACAATGCAAATATTGTATATGTATATGTAATATACTGTATATATAGAAAGCATTTCTCCCCCAACTTTTAACATTTCCTGCATTTACAAAGCATATACATTACCTCTTCTAATCTTCTAAGGTTTCTGATTTAGCTTCTCTATAACGGAGCAATATAAGAAATGTATGCTATCTGAAATTAATTTTTAATGTATTTTATTGTACAAATTAACCATTCCAAAAATTAGGTTACTTACATTATATCCTCCAACTAGGCTGAGACACAATCCCTCATTCAGGCAGTTAATATTGAGCAGCTTGCAGAAGTCAATTATTTCTTCACAGTTCTTTCCGGAAAAACCTTGTCGGCATCTACAAGAATATGACATTAACTTTAGCCACATATAAAAATAGACTTCTAAGAGTAAAAATGACCCAGAGTAACAATCAGTGATGATGGGATGAAACGCAGGCACTTTCCTGCTGTTTTTAGATGTTACAGGTCTCTCATAATGACCATTATGCTCCTTGGTGACATTTGTGGAGTATTAAAAGATCCTTTAAGCAAACACATGACAAGAATGCCTGTTAAATGTTCAACCTCTGGCACACATGCTTCATAAATAGAGAATATCCTCTTGTTTCTTTGGCCTTAGTCAGATCTTGGCCTTCCTTCTGCTGTGATAAGACTTCAGCGATCTTATTCTGTCACACAAAGGCAAAATCACTAAATTATTAACACAGACTCCCAGGTGACCAGCTGCTTTCACTTTTATCTCTCCTTCTCTTTACACACTCTATCATCGTCTAGTCATGCTCAATTTTTAATTCATTTTTCCCCTTTCAATCCCTATCTTATCTTTCGTTTGTCATTTAGTCAGAGGGGCCATCAAATGTATTGATTCAAGTGATCTTTGCTAATAAAAATTAGAAAGATGAGCAGGAGCAAGAGAAGACATAGCTATGAACCCCCCAAGGACTGGAAGAACTCATAAAGCAGCCGAAACTGTAGTGGATTCCCTCATTATCAGCAGGAAGTAATTAAAAAGCTGTCACAGGCTGAATATTAAACTTTACCAATGGAAATTTAATGAACATTTCACTGTCTATAGACTTTATTCCTATTTCTGGCCAGTAAAATCATATACCAAGGAAAAATACACAATCACAGCATACATGATATTCAGCAGTTCAAAATTTCATCACAAAGCAATTTATCAAATTCATGTTAAATGAATACCTTTGATTAACAAACTATGAAAAGGTACTATACTGTACACAATCCTTCCAAAACCGTGCCTTCAAAGACATGTCATCAAACCCAAAGGCACAAAATGATTCAGAAGGAGAATTTCAGAATGAATGCTGACTGGTTAGTTTTCTAGTTTGCAGGCCTCTAGACATGTAAGGTCACACAAGACAATATAAAAATCAATGTGAAATCCTGTTCACTGCCTATTTACTTCTGTAAAGAAACCAACATTACATGACCAACAAGAAAGTGTGTCCATAGTGACTCGTCGATTCGTCGCTCTGTTGAGAATGTCTTGACCACTTCACCAGGAACATACTCTGAGTTGAATGAACTTACACCTGGATGCGTTTTTGGAACCACATACCTCGAGTAAGCAAGGTTTGGGGTTAATCAACCGAAAGTTCAGGGTTTAGCTGACGGTAAGTTAACCGTGCTTTCTGGAATACACCCCAGGTATTTTAGTCGTTAGAAGCAACCAGAAATAGCACCTGTATATAAAAGAATATAGTTCAGCAATTTGGTATTTGAATACCACTAAAGTGGGGTCTATATTTTTATCAGTTTTATTTTGATAAACACAAAATACTGTAAAAAATACAGCATTAAGAGTACAAGATAAAAATATTCTACTGTTATAAAAACACTGATTTGTGAGCATTTGGGAAGCTGAAGGTGTCAGAATAAACATGAAACGCACTCTATCGTTGTCATCACTGAGCCTGGCCAATCGTGAAATAGCCGTGTCATCATCAGAGCTTGCACAGCCGCTCTAGTGAAGCACTGTAACGTGCAAGTGGCACTGTCTGACATCAGACAAAATTTTTAATCAACATGCACTGGTACAAGTCGTATGTAGATTGGTCTGTGCAGAATCGCATAAAGTCAAACACACACAAGACAAATAGGTTAACAAGACTAAACAACATACACTTCGGATCAATGAAGGGAACAAACCATAAACGCAGATAAGAGCAAGATATCAAACTTCAAAATAAGAGCACAACATGGACATGAAAACAGACCACCACAACTCTGACACTGAACTAACATGCACTAAAGATTCATTAACAATAAAATGAAATGATAATAATAATAGAAATGATAATAAAAATGCCTTGATCAGTAATGCCAACCCTGCTGACCTGAGCTTCTTACCTGCAATGATACTGGCCATTCTGAACTACACAGATGCCACCGTTGAGACAGGGCAAAGTGCCACACACCTCTGCCTGCTCCGAGCATTCCGGGCCTACGCAGATACATGTGGAATTCTGCATAGAAGAAAAAGACCACCCCAAGGACGGTTAGTTGCGTGTCAAGTAGAGAAACATGCTGAAATCTAATCACATACTGGTGAGATGGAACACCGTTATATCTGCATCATTTTACATTTTTCCATCAAAATAGTACTGGGGTTTGGCCAGAGCTGGAGCTTGTCCCAAGGGATCTGCAAACTCACATTTCCACTCATTTGAAAGCCAAACACAGTAACTGGCTATATAATTCAGCCGTAAACAAACTGTCAGGACCCCGGGCTGATCGGCCTGGCTTTGTCTGTTTGTTTGTGTTTATGGTTGTCATGTGCATCTAGCACATGGCTTCTGTTTTGTTTGTTATGTGTTCCTTCATTTGTCATGTCTTGGCCCCGCCCCCTCGTTTCATTTTATTAGTCAATTTGCCTCACCTGCCACTGCTCGTTATCCTGCTCATTGATTGCCCTACTTATTCCTCTTGTGTGTGTCTTGTACTTTGCCAGATTGTTGTTTGCTCTTGAGCTCTCAGCAGCTTCATCTGTCTGATATGTGC